CAAGGGACTTAATCAACAATCACCCCCAACTCTTTTTTTTTTTTTTTTTTTTTTTTTTTGGTGCTAAGTTGTGAATAGGTCTGATTAAAACCAACCTGAGAACTAAGAAAATTTTCAGGCTGGTCAATTGCATTTTGAGATTGCAGTTTCATTAAGTGAAAATATCTTTCAAGAACATTTACATGAAAATTCAGAACACAGAGACAATCATCAGAAAACAGAGACAATTACAAAGCTCCCAATCTCCTGAGACATTTACCTTTTTGTAGCAGGCTTTACTCCAGCCCCACTACATATTTGCTCTGATCATCAATCCTATTTGCAACTTTCAACTGGCTCCACAATCTGTGTCAGAGATCTTTGTATCAGGCAATACCTGGAGTGTCTCCATTCATCCAAATTTTAAAAACTGGTAACTGAAACAAATCAACATTTGTGCACCGACTGGAAAGAAACCATGCAGACTCACCGCAAGTGAAAATCTGTCCTTCAGTGTCTATACGACTCCCTCCTCTGTCCTTCTCTAAAAAAAGAAGGGTCAAAGCAAAATGCTGGCAGCCCAGTAAAATCTTTGAAGAGACAGTATGGTTTCAGTTACGAGAGGATGGAAAAATGAGAACCCTGGGGATCTTTCGGGAACATTAAGCTTTATTAATCAGGAATGTATTAGCCACATACCAACATTCCCAAACGGTACGCTGAATCAGAGAAACGCCAGGGAGCAACAGAACCCATCCAGGCTGGTCTTCTGCCTTACAGCAAGTTCTAGCACGCCCTGAGAGATGGTTTTCCAAGCCATTCCTTAAAAAAGAAACCTCCCCTGCTTCCACAACACCTACTGGTTGTGCGTCCCAGCGCTTTACAACCAATACAGTCAGAACATGGTCCTTAATATCTAACTTGGTAATTTTCACTGCTCATTGAACTGATTTCTTTAGGTCTTTCTCCCAGTGGATATGAAGAACAATTAATGACTGTGCTCCTGATTGTAACTTTTCACTCACTAGAATATTTTTTTCATACTCTCCTTAACATACAACAAAAGCAACACTTTCAGAAGCTTATAATGCCATGTAGGGCTTCTACGTACCCTCTTGCCCCTGGGCCAGATAACAATCAACCAGTTTCTGCTTTCTCAACAATTTTAACACTAGGACAACTTCTGCCTTGACAAACATTTTTGACCTCTCCACATTTCCACTGGGGTTCCCCAGGTAGAAATCAGGGCAGAATTTATCCCTGTGAGTTTCTGGATTAATGCCTTGGTATAGGAAGGGGAAAAGGCAAAATTAATTCTCTTTGTTAGTGCAAACACAATTCCTCAGTGACAGTTAGCCCCAAGACATTGATCTTTGTTCAAAGGAAGCACACTTCCATACTCATTTCACATTTGCACACGTCTTCTCTAGCGTAGCTTCTACAAGCCAGTATCTTCTGTATCAAAAAAAAAAAAAAAAGGGGGGGGGGGGGCTTAGCAAACTGTTGAGAGTTTACGTTTTGTCAGAAGAACAGGAACTGGGAATTTGCAGGGCTCAACAAAGCCCATCTTAGACAGAAATTCTAGTTAAAACACCAAGGTACAGGAGGGCAGGACAGATCCCATATCCATCAGGAACTGCGAGGATTCTTGTGCTGTAAAGAACGCAGTAAGGTAGCTTGTTTGTTGTTTCAAAACTCTTCCTTCATTTAAAAGCACTGCTGTGATGGACGAAGCCCTTCTCAGCCCTGACATGCTGACGCTACCCATGCAGCACGCGCTCCGGGATGCCAGCTTACTGTGTCACATTGGCTTGGGTTCTGCCTGTTCCTTTCCTTATGCCTGCAAGCTCAATTGAACTTATGAAAATTCAAACTGTCTTCTGTCTGTTTCATACATCATCAGCAAACAATCGCTAGACAAAATGAATTTGCTTTCTGTAATTTGGAGGCTACACAAACGTCTCTGCTGCATAATACAAAAAAAGGGGAATAAAGTTTGGTACGCAAGGTTAATTCAGCATGGAGGAGAGTAGCAGAGAAACAGACGGAGAGAGAACACGAACAATAAAATACTCAACAGTAGGGAGAGTGACATGAGAAATACTTCTGTAAATTGGAGTTGGCCTTGATACCTTTGAGTGATGGAATTAAACAAAGGCACAAGTGAGCTGTGAAAGATCACCCCCACGAGTGGCTGTATCTCCATCCCTCGTGATCTGTCTACACAATATACTTATTAATAATAACAATGGTTACTATTCCTCCTCTACGCTTTGCAAACGCAAACTCAGTAATGTTCAGAGCTGTATCAGTTTGAGCCAGATTGAAAAAGTGATCTGGTGGACAAGGCAGAGCGAAGTTAAATGACCTGTCCAATGCCACTCCGTGAGCCAGCACCCGTTAAAATTAGCACACCGGATCTCTTGGTCAGTAATCAGATCACAAGGCTGCGTAAGGCTGAAAACTTGACAAACCTCTCTTTTAACAAAAATAATGTGTTGTATACTCCTTATTGGCCTTAGCCGATGGCAATGTAACTAAAACCATTGCTTTGAAAGCACATCCAGTGCGTCTCCTGTATAGGTTTTCAGGTTGTGCATACAGAATCCTTTTCCTCCACACACAACATGCTGTCATTGTCTCGTTCTAAAATCGAGAAGATGCTGAATGTCAGCAGAGGTAACTCCTCATGCTTGACTTAATCCTATTTGGGGTTAGTTGCAAACAGCAAAGTACTTAACCACATCCTTGAAGTTAAGTATTTGAGCAGTCCCACGGACCCCAATGGATCTACTTGCCTATCAACCCACATAACTTTAGTAAACAGCAAAACACGGCCAGAGCACCCAACATTGCAAGAATCCAGGCCACGGACCTTTCCTATTAAGAGCATGCCTGTACTACATTTAGAAGGCTGGGTTTTATGCAACTGCCTGCCAGATGTCCATGTATTGTGAATCTGGATTTTTGTCTAATGCCATGTATCGAGTCAAGCATATTTTTGTATTAGCTGACAATTTGGCCCATCTTACATTAACCAGTTGCTTTAGGGACATCCTTACCCTAAAGGAAGTTTTCCACCCTTCAGTTAAAGAAATCCAATACAAAAGACCCCAGAAAACTACCAGAGCATGGCCTGCCTTTTCTTCTTGCTGTTTTTGGGTTAATACAGGAAAGCCATACTGGCAAGTTCACTTTATTAAAGATCTTAATTAGAAGTACCTGATTACAGCAAACATACATAGGTAACAAAGGAAATCCTTAAAGCATACTTTCCTCTAAAAGAAGATGCTCCCATTTTTATTGTGCCAAGTTACTAGTTACATGGACACCAGGTAGAACAAGAATCACATCCTCATTTTACAGAGTACATGCACATACGTGAAAGTTCCCCCGCTTTGTTCTTCTGTATTCCAGAGACAGGCTGTATGCCAAGGCTACAGAACTTAGAAGCAGCTAGAAGTTTACAGGTGGGGTGTTTTTTTGGAAAAAGCAAATGACACAAGAAACTCAAAGACTTGGACCTTTACTTCATGGAACAGAAAGAAAAAATAGGCAGAACAGACCAGACTTGGGAGTCGTGATCCCACACTCTTTTCCCAGTTTGACCACTGATTTACTCTGACTTTGAGCAAGCTGCTCAACATCTCTGCTTTGATGTCCATGACACCCTTGATTAAAAAAAAAAAAAAAATCCTATATACGAGTTTTACACTTGTGTATTTATTTCCCCTCCAAAGTCTAGAGTCTCATATAACTAAAAAAAGCCCATTCCAGCCAGCACCAATCATCAGGCCCATATATTGCTACCTGGTATTCTGCCTTAGGACTGTCTATGCAGGACTTACCGACCATCTGGATCCTAAGGATTCAGAGAACTTGCCTTAATTCAGTCCTCACTCTGCTGCTGCATTTTGGAAAGAGAATTACTTCTACTTTCCAACAACAATTCTCCTGGTTGTTCACGCAAAATCACAAGACAACTTTGAAATTCTGTACTCACGGATTCAGAAGTGTTCCCCCATTTTTCCCCCCATCACCTCCCTTTAAATTGCTGCTGGACCCAGCAAATCCACAAGTGTTTTCAACTCGGCTCACCAGTGTAATTGCAAGGTTAACCTCTGGTGGCCAGGGAAGCTGCTCATATTCAGGAATGATGAGCAGAAAATGTTAAATACCATTCACTGGCCACAGCCTGCAGTTAATACACAATATTTAAACAACACAATGGCATGGCCCTTGCCAGTAATGTAAAAACACAGTGGAGTAGAGCCAGAATGGCACAATCTGCCTGCCTGAGTCACGCTTGGCGCTCCATGCTGGAAGGGGCATGCATTAGCTGCCCACACTGTACTGTACCCTTCAGCTAGTTTAAAATAAATCTTTAAAATACAGTTTAAAAAAAACAAAAGGGGAGGGGGGGTAGGGAAAAAAAATCCCATGTAATAGTTAAAATATTTTAACACTGAAGTACAAAAGTACCACTTTGGAAGAAGGCTCTGGATTTCCTTACAGACTGCACATTTTGATCTTAAACAAGAAAACAAACCAACTTTGCCTTGTAATATTCCACAGCTTTGTGCCGTCCAACTAAAATAAATTTTTTCCTACTATCTACAAGCTCCTGGATTTTTATTCATATATTATTTCATTAAATTCAGAGTATCTGAATCTGCTATATTTTCCAATCCTCTTTTGCATGCCTGTTGTTCAGCCACTGAAGTTCCAAATCTTAATTATTGTCCCAAATACATTCAATAAGCAGATTCTAAATAAGGGTAGATCCGACTGATGTACGATCTGACTTGCATGTATGGAATAACTATGCTCTTAGAAAGAGACTCCTTTCTTGCTGAGAGACGCAAGACATTATTTTGACTGTTTGTTGTGTCACAGCACAGATGAATTCGGCATTTCTGCCTTCATCTACAGCCTAAAGCAGCTGAAGCTCCCTGTGATGTCATCAGAAAGTTGTTTGGTTTTTTTCTTGTATAAAGGAGAAGAATTTGTTATGACATCACGAAAAGAGAATAACCTATATTTTATGCTATAAGGAATCTTCTGCTACTTTCTGTTATCTCTGCACCAAAGTGCAGAAATCCTCACTGACAAAGCGACAGGAACTGTAAGTCAACAAACACAGAGATGTACACTATTCCTAATAATATTCAAAACAAAGCAGAAGAGAATGATCTATTCAGGGTTCTGAAATTAAAGATCTGTAAGATGTAAATTCTGGTTTAGTTTTTAAATAAAACATCCTTTGAACTTCTGAATCCCATTCAAGGGGACTCTGACCTTTATCCAAGACCAGCTACTATGCTAACACTTGGGATGCATATAGAGTAAAAATACGGACAAAAGGTACCGGAAAAGCTTTTACTTACAGGAATGCAGTGCAGCTTAATCTTTTTGTTTTTAAGGTGCAGTGATTTCAGCATCTACAATGTAACTTCAGGCAGTCTGAAAAGAAACAGGTTAAAATCTCTTTCAGTTATAATTGGTATTTCAGATTTAATTAAAAATTAAACTTTCATAATGTTTCACCATCCAAAGCAATGCATTATCAGTCAAGCGTAGCCTTTTTTTTTTTTTTGTTAAAAGAAGCTCTTCCCAGAGTAGTTTGCAATGAAAGAAGAAGGGGAAAAAGGCAATTGAGAGTAGCAAAATATATTTCTTCAGCAAAAGATCTCTGAATAACTTGGAAAGAAGCCTTCTGCCACTTAATTTTAACAATCAACCTTATACTAATTAAAAAAAAATAAGCATCACAATTAAAGAAGACAGAAAAACACCACCACATACCAACGACTGTGAGGGGAAAAAATGTTAATTTCAGCAAAACAAGGACATTGCTAGGACCAGAACATACGCACCAAAAGGAAAAATATGGTTTTACATAATGCCAGCCAACAACATTTTTTTAAAATTCGTTCTACAGCATGTAGCACTTTCAGACTGTTGCATGGAGGAGCAGAGAAAGACAAGTTCAAAAAGAGGAAAGCTGTTTTTAAAGCGTACAAGGCAAAAGGTCCCTTGCACCCTTTTGTTAAAGGATATGAAATAACTACTTTATAAAACTGCAAGGTTTCTTATCGTGTAAAATAAATGTCATTTTACTGTGCAAAACAGATGATTAAGAAGTGGTAGCTGTAGACATAGCATTTGAACAGATGCAAAAAAAAAATTTTTTTTTTTTCCAAAATGCAGTTGGAATGACAATAAAACTCCAGGGGTTGCACCATAAATATGAGTTTAAATGTTAGACTGGAGTTTAAAACCTGTGGTTTTAATTATGTCTAATTATAAAGGCTCCAAAACCAGAAGAAATGAGAAAAACAAAAAATATTAATAATAAATTAAAACAATTTTGCAATAAGTTGTCAGGATTTGGCCTCATAATAACAAACCATACAGCAATTTACAGAGACACATACAATGTACCAATGATTCATTAAAGGAACAAATCAAAACTTGATTAAATTTTATTTTTAAAAGGTGACAGCATAACTTGCCTAATTTACCCCATTCAAAGTCAAAGCTATTCTCATCACCAGCAGCACACTGAGAGAGATCTGCAAATAATCCTGGATGAGAATCTAATGCTGATTTTGAATGTCCCACAGACCGGGGGCAATTCCTAAGTGAAATTTTTTCTTTGTTCTCCCATGAGTAAAAATCCAGTTCTTCAGACTTTAGTGTTACATGAGCCTTCCCAATCCGTCCCCACAGATGTTTAAAAAGAAACGCACTGTATCAGACGATATACTGTCACACCAACCTGTTCATACGCACATCTATACCACACATGGGAACACGCTCGGGAACTTATTTTTAGGTTTAACTTTTCCACTCCGTCAAGATCAGAGGTATTGAAAAGCAGGAGGCAAAGCAGAGAGTACGGAAGGGGACAGCACAGCAAGAATTATCAAATCTTATGCAGAACCGATTCTTGAGCATTCGAATGAAGGAACAAGAGCCCCCGACAGAGGCACTAGGACGATGCTGCCACAGGATAACCTTTATAGGCTTGGATGAAATTCTTCTTCAAGGAACCATTTGAGAAATGTGTTCCTCGTCCTTTAGACAATCTTTATATAAAATAACACTCCTCCTTTCTGCTGACTGGCATCTAGTAAGATAGACAGAGGAGCAGTGGAGAAATCCAGGCAAAAAAAAAAATGGTAAGTCCATCAGAAGTAGGCAGCAGCACAACTGCCGGATAGGTGATAACAGCTTCAGCCTCTGGACTTCCATTTCTTTCCCTTCCTTCCCCTTCCAAATTTACCCTTTTCTAACATCTTCAGGACTGTAACGCTAGCCTGCTGGCAGGGAAGGAGAGGGGCAGCGGTATTTGCAATCCAAAGCTATTTCTTTTAATGATTGCAATGAAAAACTGACCTCAACTGAGAAAACAAAGAGCATTCACTGAGGGTGAAATGTATCCCTGTATAGAGAGCCAGCATACAGACTGCTCCACTGAAGCCCTATTCCGATGACCTAAATAGGAATAAATCGGTGCATGGACTTCATCACAGTGAATTTTGTCCAAAACCCCCATTTTCTTGTCAAGAAGGAGGAAGCATTTAGCCTTCTCCTATCAAAACACAAAGGTACAGCACCCCCTTCCCATGCTGGGCACTATCCCGACAACTGCTCTTCCCTGGATTTTCCTAGCAGTTTTAACCTGAAGTTCTTCCCGCTTCGTGCGCATTCTTCTGACTGGAAAGGAAAAGGAGGAAACCCAACATCTAGCGTTACTCTGCAAGTTAAGCCCCAGGGCACAGTGCCTGCACGCACTACAATCCACCCAATAAAAGATCCACCCGTTAACAGAAACGGAGCCTCGGAAACAGCTCGCTGTGAAAGCGTGTTCACCGCCGTCCTCAAAAACTTCAATTAAATAACTTTAGTTAACCGAACACCTGACATACAAAACACGCAGCCAGAGAGCATCTTAAAGAGCTATTTTAGCTACAAGTTGGAGTTAAACCCAGAGCAAAACCTACAGAAAACCTCATTAAACCCAGAATATCAATCACTGCCACTTTAATAACGTCTTCCTTTTACAAACTGAGAAATCTGTGACCTCGAGATGAAACTATTTAGACAGGTATGTATGAGTGAGAGGTAGAAATGGAGGCAGCTTCTTAGGCAGGACCCGCGTTCCTGCACACGGGTGAGCACACTTAGCACGCACTGTGGGGCAGGGGACCGTTGTCTGAAAAGAGTGCTCTGATCCCTTTCTGGAAAGCAAGAGACGTGGCTCAAGAACAGCCGGTGAACTTTTGCTTGAGAGAGGCCCAAGAGCTGGAATTGCAAGAATGAGGAGTACGGCAGGTCAGGAATGAGGTATGTTAGTAGAGCGTTAACACGAGAGCAAGTATTAGCTCTCAGTAAAGGCTTTAAAAACAAATATTAGAAGGTAAACATGTTTTGCTCTGCTTTCTCGTGATTCTCGCTTGCCATAAAGTTTATGCAGAGCCTGAAAACTGTGAGAGCAAAGCTACTGCCTGTACAACGACCAAAGTTCATAAGCAGTATTCCACGACTTCTATGGCACCTGACTCTAGTGTGCCTGACTCATGTTTATGGTCTAGTCCCCCGCTTTCATAGGAACCACATTCACTCCACCTAAAAATTAAAGAGAAGGAAAAAAGTATCATTTGTCATTGGAAAACATTTCAGAAGATGCCAGCCTTCTGCAACCTCTTGCAATAAGGAAGGTCCGTATCTGTAAGGGTTTGATTTTCCTTGAATACTTGAAGTCAGCTGGAGCAAGTTAATGAGAATCATATACAGTTGATTAGTTATGAGGAGAGGGAATGCTAGGAGAGAACACAGCAGAACACTTATCGATATCTTTTGAATTTTCTACATAGAATTTACAACACTAGTCAATTGATCTTTTTCAAACTACTTGCTCATATCATTGCTCTCACTTCTAGAACTGCAAATCAATGATGAAGCAACTGCTACAAATAACTGTTCACAGAAAGTAAAATACCAACATCCTTAACTCAGGAAAAAACCCATTGATTATATTAAGAAAGCCTTCTTCAACAACCAGGGGAAGGGTGTTGGGGGGACGACGACGACGACCAAAAAAACCAAAATAATGAACAAAAAAAATCAAGCCCATTACTGTCAAGAGAATTTTCAAATAATCTCAGAGGCCAGTCAAGAGACCGCATTCCAGCTTCAGAATCCAAACATTGACTTAGGATATAGCCCAGATTACTTTCTGGCATTTTAGGTTTGAAAACATAAGCAGGGCCATGGACTAATTGTGTCACAGAAATCAGAGACAGAGGTCGATGCTGTACAGGCTCCTCATCTAACAACAAATAAGCAAACTTTGAAATTGGAACCAGTATAGACACATCAGCACAATGTTCTGACTAGGCTCATCAGTAATGCAAAAGAACAAATCTTATTAACATAGATACAGCATTACGCTACTGCTTTTTTAAGGTGAATTCACTTTAGTTGATATTAGGTCTCTATAAGCAGGTTTATTTTGCCACCCGTCTCTTGTCTGTGGGGGAAAAAAAAAAAAAAAGGGGGGGGGGGGGGAAGTAATGCCTATGCTTAAAGAATCCTCTCAAAAAGGAACGTTTTCCTGAACTGGAGCCTTTTGTACTCTTTCAAAAGTACAAAGGAGTTTTGGTGATTTCCAGTTCTGTCTTTGAACTCATGGCCATTTTTATGGTATAGCAGTGCTGAACCAGGCTTCTTCCTAATCCTAGGCTCAAACTGGGGTCACAGGGCTGCTGGTGGGAGAAACCCAGTTTTTGTGATTTAGTAGAACAGGACCAGAGGAAAACCTACAGCGTAATGCTGGGATCGAGGGTTCCTGCCACTGCAAGAACTGACAACAGGAGACCAAAGGTTTCTTTGTCAAAATGGTAAATCTCCATCTGTTATTAGTTCACTGCAAAGCTGCGTGCCCACAGAGATTTCATCTTCCTTATGGCATTCATCTTTTGAGTTTACTTTCCCAGTGAAGACTGTATCCATTACACATTTTAATTTCCAAACCATGGCTGTTTCAGCTAGAAAAGCATTTTAATCAGGAAAAAGGTGTATTTTTGGCTACTTTTCACATACCCCTCACTCCCCAACAGCATTTGAACTATTTTCGTTCAAGTATGAAAAATACTGCCTTTGGGCAAAGACTAACACTCCTTGAAATTTGAGTTTCAGAAAGTTAGAGACACTCAGCTGAATAAAAGCCACGATGCATAACCCACCATAACGGCGGCTTTGAAACAGGTACTGGATGCAATTTCACCACAAGGGCCCTCATACCTGTTAAACATGTCGGATCCCTTAATAGCACAGTCCACCCCTCTCATTTATTCCTACTGCTAACAGAATAAGCAACAAGCACTTGAGAAGCCCAGCTGTGAAAGCACATTAGAAGCTCAACTTCTCAACCCGCTGAAGAGTTAGTCTCCTCA